CTTCAAGTCTGTGGAAATACAAGTTTCCCTGAGTGACACACCAGAAACAGCACGACTAGATCCTCAAGGAGTTCAGATGAACTCCTCAGGACGGTCATGACAGCAGCACTGGCCTCACAGCTTGACTCTTCTTTGTCTATGCTTTTAAGACAGAGACTCCTGTGAAGCGACATTGACTATTTTCTCCATATGCAGATGACACAACCCCGCTTGCTGAAACTGAGGAGGACCTGAGGCGCTTGCTGCAGAAGATCAAGGACTACAGCCTCCTATATGGACTGAAGCTAAACATCAAGAAAACAAAGATTCGCACCACTGGGCCAATTGGCAGCATCAGCATGGATGGTGAGGAGATTGAGATAGTTAACAGTTTTAATTTACTTGGTTTACACAGTCAACACTCTTGGTAACAGCAGCCAGGAAATCAGGAGACGAATTGCATTGGGAAAGTCAGTTGTGAGGGACCTCTCAAGAGTACTGAAGAGCAACGATGTCAGACTGGAGACTAAGGTGCACCTGATCTGGACTATAGTCTTCACAATTATGTGCTGTGCATCAGAGAGTTGGACAGTGAATAGGGATGATAGAAAGAGGATTGAGGCCTTTGAGCTGTGGTGCTGGAGAAGAGTGTTGAATATACCATGGACTGCTAGGAGAACAAACAAGTTTGTCCTGGAGAGGGTGAAGCCAGAGTGTTCCCTGGAGTCAAGGATTCTGAAGCTTTGTCTGACATATCTCGGGCATGTTGCAAGGAGGGACTGGTCCTTGGAGAGGGACATGATGTTTGGCAGAGTGGAGGGGCGGCAAAGGAGAGGAAGACCTTTGGTGAGATGGATCGATTCTGTGACTGGAGCGGTGGGAATAAGTGCGTTTGAGATGGCTAGGTTGGCACAGGATAGAACAGCATTTAGAGCTCTTGTACATGGGGTCGCCATAAGTCGCAAGCGATGGCACATAACAACAACAACAATCTTAACATTGCATTTTCTCAGGTGCCCTCCTGTGGCCGTGAAAAGGTGGGAATGACAATGTTCCTTTTCCTAGTCTAGGTCATAAGAGGGTTTGTTAGGCCCTGGGTGGTACAAATGGGTAAGTGTGTGACTGCTGACTGAAAGGATGGTGGTTCAAGTACGCCCAGAGACACTTCTAAAGAATAAGACTTTGATCTTCTTCTGAAAAATCAGCGTGGGACAGTTCTGGTACACAGAGTTGACCTGCATGATAATAGACTCAGGGGCAACGGCTTTCTTTTTGTTTTCCTGCTCTTCTGTCATTTCCGGGAGAAGAGGGTTCCCAGATCTGATTTCTTCTTGAAGGAGAATGGAATTCATCTTGAGGACAGTACAACCTAGATCAGCCGATTCTGTGCCAGACTATGGATGTGTGTCATAGTGGTAACTGGGTGATTTATTAGACAATTGATGCAGAAGAAAAGCCGCTGGAGGGCCAGCTATGGGTGGACTCCAACACCAATGAAAACCTTCTGAACGGCCCTGGAACACCGTCAGATACATTGCCAGAAGATGAACTCTTCAGGATCGAAAACACTCAGAACATGACAAAGGCAGGTAATGCGGCCTGGAGGCCACAGTGTGGTAAGCTCTGGAGCAGATCATGATCTCTGCTGACAATCTGAGGTTCAGCAACAGTGCGAGCACGAGGCTGTGTTTCTCACTGTACAATTTTTGTGCAGTTGGTTTTCTAAATAAGGGTTGGAGGATCTCTGAGAGGTGCAGACTTTTAAGTCCTCAACCACCAGCTCAATTTACCGAGCAGTGCGGTGGGAGAAAGACCTGGGATCTGCCTGGACGAGTCTAAGGCTTCCTCGGCACATAGTGGGCTTATGTTAGTTGGAACTGACTCTACGGCAACTAACGACAATGTGACTTAAAAAAAAATCACAAATAATTAAAACAAAAAATATAAACTAAGTATTAAAATAATATAAAGGGTAGAAAACTTTCAATCTAACAGGGAGAAAAGGAAATAATAGTCCAAAAGAGGGCAAAAAAAGAGAACAAAAAGCATGATAGGATTTAATAGGAAAACATTCAATAGTCATAATAAATTTAACTAGATTAAATTATCTTAAAGATGGGGGCTCGTCAGCTGGCAAAAACGAAACCAGCTATATATGACTGCAAGAGAAAACCAAATTTAAAGAGACAAAAATCTTCAAAGAAAAAGAATGGAAGAAAATAAGCCAAGTAAATACTGATGAGTAGTTGATATTTAATACTAATATGGGTTATTCAATTAATATTTAACACTAATTATGGACATGATAGATGGAGAAGAGAAAGAAGTTGTTAACAGTTACAGCTCGCTCGGCTCCATAGTCAACAGTCTTGGCACCAGCAGCCAGGAAATCAAAAGATGAGTTGTATTAGGAAAACCTGCTGTCAGAGCTTTCTCCAGAGTGCCGAAGAGCAGCAAAGCCAGTCTAGAGATTAAAGTGCGCCTGATCCAGGCCATGGTCTTTGCAATCGCTTGCTGTGCATCAGAGAGCTGGACAATGACTAAGTATGCCAGGAGAAAAACTGATGCTTTTGAGTTGTGGTGCTGGAGAAGAGTATGGAACATAGATAGCATCAATTGCCAAGAGAACTAGCAGGTCTGTCCTAGAGAGGGTGAAAGAAACCAAGTTACTTATCGGAGGCAAGGATTTTGAAGCTCCACTTCACAGTATTACTTTGGGCATGTTGCCAGGAGGAACTAGTTCTTGGAGATGGACAACACCATGCTTGGAAGTGTGGAGGGTTCAGAGCTATTGTACATAGGGTTGCTGTGAGTCGAAGTTGACTTGACAGCACATAAAAACAAGAAACAAAAATCGTATTTATATGAGATCAAATGGAACTTGAAATGGGACTTAAGGACAAGGCATTATTACGACAGAAAAGATCATCATATAATTATAAAATGTTTAGTTCACCTAGAAATCAATTATAAATATTTTTCACATAATAATGTAATCTCTTGATAGACTTGACATGACTGTATAAGAAGAAACAAACAGCTTTCTAGTGTATATCTCTCTGGTGGCCTAGTGGAAAGGGGTAGTGATGTCAACCCAAAGGACTGTGGTTTGAATCCACCAGCTCCTCCTTAGGAGAATGATGAGGATTCTCCACTCATGTGATTTACTGTCTCTGAAAACCCACAGAGGGGGAGCCCTGGTGGCCGAGTGACAAGAAGCTGCACTGCATTCCCAGAGGTACGCAGTTCAAATCCACCAGATGCTCTGCTGGAAAAGGAGGGGCACTCTTCTCCTCTACCAGTTAGATCTGATTTGATGGTACACACACAAAAAAGAATAAAACCCAGGGAGGGTCAGGTATGAGTCAGTTCTGACTCGATGGTATAGAACAACAATATGCTTGGGCCGTATTTTTAGGAGGGGCCAGCCCTTGGAGAAAGACATCAGGAAGGTCAGTGTAAGAAATGAAGACCCTCAGTGAGATGAGTTGGCACGGTGACTGTATCCCTGGGCTCGAACGTGTTGGAGATGGTAAGGATGGCACAGGGTAGGGCAGGTTTCAGAGCTGGTGTCCACGTGGCTGCTCTGAGTCACAGTTTGACTTATTGGCACGGAAGAACATGTCTTTTCTGCTCTAGGAACAGGATGCCAGCATGGAGCCCAACCAGGACCGCCTGAGGTTGTCACAGGGCCTTCATCCATCGGTTCACCTGACAGATACCAGGCACAGGGCTCCTGACAGCAGATGGGTAGAACTGGGGGCCTTGGAGGGGGCCAAGGAGGTTTTTAAGAACTCAGTACTGGGTGGGAGGTGGGCAGGTAGAGGAGGAAGGAGATCCTGGGACGAAAAGCGTAAGTGACAGGCTGGGCAGCATGAACTCTTCCTGTGAGGGTGAGATCTTGTCTTCCCAGGGAAGCACAGGGGCCCCCTGAGCCCCATTCTGGGGTGGAGGGGTTAGGACTGTTCCCTAGAAGCACTTGATCCCCCAGGGCTCCAGGGTCTCGGGTCTCCAGAGCTCTCTGTGCATTGAGTGCCCCTTTTCCTGTGATTCTCTGTCATAGGTTTACAGTTGAGGGGCCAGAGACTGGGGCAACGTGGAGCAGTCACATGGCACAGGTCACATGACACAGGGATACCTCCTGGTGTCAAGATGCTGCCACAGGCAGGGACAACATCTAAAGACTCTGAGTACCTCATATTGCTCCCCTCTGCTCCAAAGTGCCAGCGTGGGCAGTCAGTAAAAAGGGTGTGTGTGTGTGTATGTGTGTCTGTGGACAGTATAGTCTATCTTGGTAGTTTAGAACCTTCTAGAAAATCCAAAGTGCTGACTGCCTGGCTCCAAGTCCACATGGTAACACTGCTGACACTCATCTCCTGCACCTTCAGGGGCTCATATGCAGCCAGCAGGGGTTGTCCTGGCCTGTCCTGGAGGAAGCCAGAGGGTCCCCAAAGTTGTCCTGCTCTCCCGCATCAGCCTGGAGTTCCTGGAGACAGAGCTGCTAGTGGGGCAACCTTGGTCAACAGCCCTTCTCAGTGGGGCCACTTCCAGTGAGTGGGCCCCTTTCTGGCCCCCTACTGTCAGGCAATCAGGGAACCAGGGCTCCAGGCGCCCTAGCCATAGGTAGGTAGTTGGTGGACCAGAGGAGGATGGTGGCCCCGGAGGGACTAGGTGAGCCCCACTCAGCCCGCTCTGCATGGAGTGCGAGCTCCGACTGCTGGACAGCCGGGAACTGCAATCCTCAGGGACTGGAGCGAGTGCGGTGGGGGCGGGCCTGTCGGCGCTCTGTGACCCGCCAAGCTGCTGGTTGGGCCGGGAGAACCGAGAGCCAGCCTCCCGCTGCAGCAGCCGCAGCCCGCGACCTCTGCGCCCAACCTGACTCGAGTGCCGGCGCACGAGATCTCTCCTCTATAGCGCAGGACAATAGGCAGGACTGGGTTATCCCGGGGCGCCCACGGCCCTGAGATAGTCCCATCCAGGCTGCTCTGGAGTGTTAGTGAGCATTTCTGGGGTCCACTCACCTCTGCTGTTGGCCCAGAGCACGCCCAAGGCTACGAGGGCTCCGGCCATGAGGACCAGCTGCGCCCTCTCCAGACAGCAATGGCGCTTCTGCCCTGTGGGCTGGGCTCTGTCCTCCAACATCTCCTCCATCTCGATCTCAGATTCGCCCATCACCAGGGCTCTAGAATGGAAAGGCATATCTGAGCACCCAATCCTTGGTGCCCTGACCAGGCCAGGGGGAAGCAGAGCAAACCCATCTGGGTCTCAGCTCAATTTCAATCTCCCAGAAGCAACCTAGCTTTGTGCCCAGGGTTTGGGGCTTTAGAAACTAATCAGTCTCTGAGATCTTGGGGCACCTTGGAGTGAGGGGAGGCCTGGCCTGCTGTTCGTGGGGGGCTCTTCTCTCCCTAGGCCTCCCTCCAGGCCCACCCTCTGGCAGAATTGGCCCAGGGACAAGTCTGCTGTTGGTGCTGGGTCTGCATGCTGGATCCAGCCAGTCAAGCTCCCCTGCTAGGTTCTAGGGCCCAGGTCAAGGCCACCATCTGGGAGACAGCTCTAGCTACTGGGCTTCCTGCCTGAAGTCTAGTAGTCATGGAGGGAGAATGAGGGGGCTCCTGGACCAGTGGCCTCTGGAGACCCAGCTTCAGCAGGCACTTGGCTGGCTGGCAGATCCTGTCCCTGCTGTCCTACCCCCCGTCTTGCCACTGTGGAAAAAATTCTTTCTTGAGCCAGGCCAGTGGTTTGCAGCTTCAGGGTGTTGTAAGAGGCCAGGGGTTGGAGAGGGAGCTGGCCAAGGAAGGCTGGCAGGATGGGTGGGGAGGTGAGGAGAACAAAGTTGACAGACTGAGTGTGGCAGCCATGGACTCCCCAGTCTGTCTGGGTCCCAGATATGTGTGCTCACACATGTGTGAATTTGAGTGTGAGTTTGTGCTTGAGTGTATATCTGCATGGGCGTGTGTATATAAACAGGTGGAAGTATGTAAACAGGTGTCTGTATGCATGCTTGTGAATGTGTGTGCACCCTTTGCTGGCTCTCAGAGCCATGTCCCAGAAGCTGGGTTGGCACCTGGGGAAAAGTTAGGCTATTCCTTTGAGCTTCAGTCTTCCAACCCTCAAACACACTGGGTTTGGGGTCCATGCCTTGCCCCTTTGGGCTGTGCTTCAAGGGTGAGCAGACTAAGGTTGCAGGTCCCACCCTCCACGGGAAGCGTCTGGCTCAGAGAAGAGGTGCCATATCGAAAAGGTCCTGATCCTGATCCTGCGTGCGCTCCTGTCGGGACCCTGTCTTGATCACCCAGATCATGTTGAACAGACGCTGGGTCCTGACTTGAGGATCCTGAGGTGCCCTGCAGGCCCCCTGGTGATGCTGAAGTGGTCATGCTGAGGTTTCTCACAGCACCCCTAGTGCACCCCTCCTGAACTGCAGACCCTAGAGAGGCATCAGGTGCAGCCGTCTTTGGAGCTCCTGATGGTGCCTGGTTCTCCCACCTCCTCTTCTCTCTTTCTCTCTCTCTGTGAATCTTTCTGTCTTGCTCTCTGTGTCTTTCTCTAGCCCCATCTCTCTGCAGTCAGTGAAGGGGGCGAGTACTGGATTTTCACAAGCTGTGACTTCCAACTCTTTGCTCTGGGGTGGAAGCTG